TCTAGAGTGATTTGGAGCAACCACTTTCACAGTACAATGCTCTAAGAATTTATAGGCAATATATAATGAGCCTAGTATAAGGTCAGGACAATGTGAGCACTTACTTTTCTAAGCTTAAGGCTCTGTTTGATGAATTATTGAATTACGAGTCAATTCCCAATTGTATTTATGGAGGTTTGAAATATGTGGTTGAACATCAATAACGTGATTAGGTGATGAAGTTCTTAATAGGGCTGAATGAGTCCTATAAGGACATCAAAGCATAGATGTTGATAAAACCATTTCTCGATTTAAATAAAGTTTGTTCTATCATCCAACAAAAGGAGAAGCATAAGTAGATAATATCAAATACATTATTTAATAAGGCATCAACTTTCAATATTAAGGAGTCAAATAAAAATTCTAGAAGCACTAGACCTAATTATGAGAAATAATACTGTACAAACTACAAAATAAGGGGTCATTCTATTGAGAAATGCTTTAGAATAAGCATTAATAAACTTTTTTGTTCTCATTGTGGAATCACTGGGCATAATATGGAAGAGTGTTACAAATTACATGCATATCCTAAGGACGACAGGTCACATGAAGGGATGAAAATGTATAATATTGTTAGTAAAACTATTTGTGTTTAAATTTAAAATTTTCAAAATAGTGCTTCTTATGTTTTAGGAGTTTATTATTTTCTAAATTTATCATGGTAATCATGCCTATTTTTAGGATCATGAATTTAATGGTTAGTTACTTTTCAAGTTTATATAATGTAAGTTTTGAATTCAATGAAGAACTAACTTCTTCTTAAAAGTTGTCTCTGTTTTTTCTACTGTAACTTTACAAATAACAACAATTTGTATCAGAGTGTCTCTTCTTAAGGGACTTGTAAGTGTTTTAGATTGATTTTTAAATGGCTATCGTGGATGCATAAACTAGCTTATCATGGATCACTCCTATTTTTTATAGAAAAAATTATCCAATTTGGGCTATGAAGATGGAGGCCTATCTAGATGCACTAGATCTTCGAAAAGTAGTAGAAGACTACTACGAGATTCCTCTACTACCAAATATCCCACAATGGCGCAGATAAAAAATCACAAAGAAAAAAAGACAAAGAAGTCGAAGGCAAAGACTTGCCTATTTGTAGTAATATCATCAACAATTTTACCCAAGTCATCTCGTTCAAATTAGCAAAAGTAATTTGCAATTATCTCAAATCAGAGTATGAAGGTGATGAGAGAATCAAAGGAATGCAAGTGCTGAATTTGATTAGATATTTTAAACTACAGAAAATGAAGGAGTCAGAAACGATCAAAGAGTATTCTGACAAACTTCTAAGCATCAACAATAAAGTAAAATTACTTGGTTTTGATCTATTTGACTCGAGGATTGTTAAAAAACTACTAGTAACAGTGTTGGAAAAATTTGAGGCTATCATTACAAACTTAGAAAACACAAGGAACTATCAAAAATCTCTCGTGCAGAGCTCTTAAATGTTTTACAAGCACAAGAACAGAGAAGGGTCATGAGGCATGAAGGAACATTTGAGGGAGCCTTACCTATGAAGTATCAAGACAATGTGAAAAATAAAAAGAAGAAGAAGAAGAAGAAAACAAGTACTGATAGTGAAGCAAATGCTAATAACAGTAAAGGAAAATGTGGACATGCTAGTAGAAATCAATCAGTATGCCATCATTGTGGCAAAAAGTGCCACCCTCTTTTTTGGTGTTGGAGAAAACCTGATGCAAAATGCTACAAATGCAATCAAACTAGTCATGAGGCTATAATTTGTAAAATTAAGACTCAACAACAAAATATAGAAGTACAAACTGCTGATCAGGAGGAAAAGAGCTATCTTTTTGTTGCAACATGTTTCAAGTTGTGAATCAAGTGAAAGTTGGCTTGTTGATAGTGGTTGCACAAACCACATGACCTATGACAAAAATCTTTTTAGAGAATTGAGAAGTACATAAGCCACAAAGGTTAGGATTTGAAATAAAGATTACATCCTAGTCAAAGGAAAATGAACAATGTCAATCACAGGGTGTGCATGTATGAAACTGACTTCTGATGTGCTCTATGTTCCTAACATTAACCAGAATTTGCTTAATGTCGGGTAGTTAATGGAGAGAGGCTTCAAAGTATATTTTGAAGACAATCACTACTTGCTTAAAGAAGTAACAAATCAGGACATGTTCAAGATCGAAATGATAAAGAAAAGCTTCATGTTGGATCCTATGAAAAAAGAAGAATTAACTTATCCGGTAAAGGAAAGTGTGACTGAAATTTAGCACAAGAGACTTGTTCATTACCACCGTTAGGGAATGCTTAGGCTAAATTTGAAGCAAATGGTAAGGGATTTACCTATTCTTGATAGTGATTTTTCCTACTGCAAAGCGTGCCAATTTGCAAAATATCACAAACATTCATTTCCAAAATCAACTTGCAAAGCAACAAAAAAATTGTAGCTGATACACATAGATCTTCCAGGCCCAATGAAGACTCCCTCTCTCAACGGTAGCTTATATTACATTATATTTATTGATGATCTAACAAGAATGTGTTGGATTTTTTTTAAAAAATTCAAATTTGAAGTTGCTCACATATTTTGGAAGTTTAAAGCAAGAGTAGAAAATAAAAGTGGCTGCACAATCCAAAGTCTAAGGTCAAACAATCGCACTGAGTATACATTAGATCAATTTAATATTTTTTGCGATAAAGTAGGAATACAACATTAGTTGACATTACTGTACACTCCACAGCAAAATAGTATTAGTGAAAGAAGGAACCGATTCATCATGTAAATGCCAAGATCCATGTTGCATGACAAACGATTTACCAAAGTTTTTTTAGGCAGAAGCTACAACTATAGTAGTTTTTCTCTAAAATAGACTTTCAACCACAATAGTAAAAGACATGACATTATTTAAAACATGATTCGATTATAAACCCATAATGAGCTTTTAAAAAGTATTTGGAAGTCTTTGTTTTACTTACATTCCTCAAGTGAAGCGCAACAAGCTAGATATAATATCAATACCTGGAATTTTTATTGGTTATAGTACCATTTTAAAAATTTATAAAATCTTTCATCCTCAAACAAAAAAGGCGACCATAAGTCGAGAAGTATACTTTATGGAAAATGAAAAGGGAAATTGGTTTAAAGACAAGAACTCTTATCCACTCTCAACTGAGATGAAGAACAATTATCCTATCTAAGAAAGAAAGAAACAAGGCATAAATGAATGGGTGGATGAAGATGTCAATAATGTTCCAATGAGAGACACTCGTTTACTCTCTAATATTTATC